AGGGATTACAAGGAGAAGGAGAAGATAACGATCGACGTCGGAGATTCTTCTGGTAACGTACATGCAGGGCCGTGCCTACATTTTCGGGGGTCCAAGACGAAATTCATATAAAAAAAAAATTGTTTTTCAAATTTCAGAAACATTAAATATTTTAATTATATTAATGAATATACAACTTATTTAGTTATATTTTAATGTTTTAAATATTATATTTTTAGAGTAAAATATGTTAAATAGCAATATATATCTATCATTTTTTTTCTAAAACTCATTATCCATTAGTTTTTTAAATTATCATAAATATTTTTACATTATTAATACTAGGAATATGTATAAAGCTTAACTAATGTAAAACCAATTGCCATGTTGATTAAGGAAATTAGTGATATAGAACGAAAAAATTCTATAACAATTTTGAAATATCAACCTTCAATACAACGTAACAAGGGAATAGGTCAAACTAAAAGTGGAAATATAAGTATGATTTTGCAACAGAATTTTGAAATTTCCATGATTAGGGGTCCTAATATTTAGTAATCAAATGCGGGGCCCAAGGCAAATGCTTTAATTTTTGTGCATTAGGCACGGGCCTGTACATGTAGGCGACGGATCTTCGTCGGCGACGTAATTGATCGTAACCATGATCTGATAAGTAACCACTGTCGATTATCCACACGCGGTTCATTTGCCGAGATGTATAATCTTACTTTAAAATTGAACCATGAATAGAATTACTTTAAATATAAAGTAGACATAAATTGTATTCAACTTTGAAGTTAAAATAGAGTAAAATTGAAGATGACTTTATTTCAATATAGACAAATTAGAATTTTGAGTGGAAAATGTAGTGAGATTTTTAGTAGGAGTTTAATTTGTATAGAGTTGACTTATTTTGAAAGTAGAGAGATTTGTTAATTTTTTTCAAGAGGTTTGTATATATATTTTAAATTTTTAATAATAAAGATTCTAAAAATCCAAGGATATACATAGTATTCTTACAATTGTGTTAATGAATTTTTCAATAACAATAGACTTTAATACATCACAAAATCAATTATTAGTAAATTTTTTGAATAACAAGAAATTTTAAATATATTTTAAAAGTTATTGTACCAATAATAATAGTAGATTTTACTAAGAATGTAAGAGTTCATAAACATATATATACAATCTCAAAATTTTAGATAATTTTTAGTTAAATAATTCATTTACTAATAACCCCTTAGAGTGGTGGAAGCTGAAATCAACATTAAGCCTGAGATTGGTTTTGTTTGGAGGATTTTCCCTTTCCATTTTTTGTTTTATTTCTTCTATACAAATATGAATAGCATTTTTATCAAGAAGAAAAAAATTGAATAGCATATAGATTACGTTACGAAGAGAAGTGGTACTTTCGTTTTTTTTGTTTTTGTTTTGGGGGTTTCTTCGACGTATTAAAGTCATTTATGAATGTTTCAAATACTTTTTAGTTTTTTTTTTTTTGGTCTAAAAATATCTTTTAGTTCTTTCAATGTCTTTTCAAAAGTATGCATACTTGTTCACATTTGTTCGTGTATTTAATTCCTTTATTTAAATCAACTCCTAAATAACTTTGTATTTTTGTAGTTTGTACTTTGTAACCACCGTAAATGTTGTGATAAAAAAAAACCACCGTATATGTTGGATACAATAATTTTGTTGTCAACGACTGAAATAACAATCTGCAATCACTATAATTCGATCTAGATAAGCTTTTTAAGTACGATGGGCTTATTTTTATGGGCTCTAAATTCTTAATACTGGCCCATTAGTATCAGCTGCTCGAAACCAGCAAAATCAGAGAGCGGTAAATCGTCGGAGAAATCTTCTCTTCCTGAATCCGTCGTTGGCTCCGGCGTGAAGCTACAATGCAAGGAGGATCATCGGGTATTGGTTATGGTTTGAAGTATCAGGTACTCCACGATCGTCTCCGAGCTCGATATTTTCTCCATTTACAGTTTCTTCAATGGAAGACTCTGTTGTTTATTTTTTCCAGGCGAGATGTATATCAGATGTGAAAGCAGATAGAGATCACACAAGCTTCCTCACTGGAACCCTAAGCTTGAAAGAAGAAAACGAGGTGATGGATCTGGATCTGTTTCGTATTCTTCTGAATCGGAAGATTCTGAGATTGTTGATTTTTTTTTTAGGTTCATTTGCTTCGTTTGTCATCGGGTGGATCTGAGCTGATTTGTGTGGGTTTGTTTTCGCATCCGAATGAGATTTGGGATCTTGCTTCTTGCCCTTTTGATCAACGCGTTTTCTCTACTGTCTTCTCTACTGGTAATTCTCATTATTTGAGTTGATTAGAAAGTAACATTTTGATCAGTTTTACAGAAATGAAATTCTGAAGTTCTTGTAGACTTTTAGTATACTCTGAATTAGATTAGATTGTTACGCGGGAATGGAACGGTATTCGGTTTTCGACCATGAGTTTTCACTTGAATGTATGCTAATTTTAAGGATCCTTTATCAATTTTATGGAACTATGATCCATCTGGCTAGTATTAATTAGTTGAAAGTTAATGTTTTGGTGGAATCGAAGCTCGGAAATTGAGAATGTCAGAGACTTACTATGTTGCTTTCCATTTCAAGGCGACTCATATGGAGCAGCAATATGGCAGATTCCTGAGCCATATGGTCAATCGAATTCTTCAACGTTGGAGTGTGTTGCCTCCCTTGATGCACATGTTGGTAAGATTAATTGGTGAGTTCATGGTTACTGAGTTCGATGGTCAAAGGTCCTAGAATTTGTTACTTTCTTATCCTCATTTTCATGAAGACTCTCTTTTCCTCTTGTGGAAACAGCGTTCTTTGGTGTCCCTCTGGAAAATCTGACCAGTTAATCAGCATGGACGAACAAAACCTTGTCTTGTGGAGTTTAGACTGTTCCAAAAGAAGTGCTGAGGTGATTTTAAGCTACGAGAATGGAGAGAAAAAACCCTTTAAATCATTTTTGCCTCCTGTGTTACTAGACCACCTTTGAGGTTCTGCTTAATTGTTTTCTGCTAATTATAGGTTTTATCTAAGGAGTCGGCTGGTATGCGTCATTCTTTATCTGGTGGAGCATGGAATCCACATGATGTGAATTCTGTTGCAGCGACTTGTGAATCATCTATCCAGTTTTGGGACTTACGGACTATGAAGTATGTCATCATTTGTTCCTGCATGCACTGCTAGCTCGTTTCACCTAATCGATATTCTGTCATTATTGCTTCCTGAGTTCCAAAATGAGATACATTTATGTTGAGTCCGCTACGTTTGCATGTTTACAGGAAGGTTAATTCAATTGAACGTGCCCATGTACGTAATGTTGATTACAACATCAAGAGAGAACATATATTCGTAAGGCTTCACTCTCTATGTAATTTTTTTTAAATGCAGACAAAGAAAAACACAGTACTCTACAGCAAGGAAACGAACTGTTAGATACATTGAGTCATTTCTCATGTAAAAGTTCCCCTTCCTGACTCGACTATGGTTTCTGGAATGAAATAGTTCCATTGACTTTTACATGTTGGACTGTCGATTGTATAGGTCACTGCAGACGATGAATCTAGCATACATGTCTGGGATCTTCGGAAGGCCAAGGTTCCTGTTCAAGAGCTCCCTGGTCATACACACTGGTAATTTTAGCTCTGTGCTTATATATGGATTTGTTTTTTTTTTCCTTCCATGATTCTCCTTTACACATACAAAACCTAGTGCTTTGGACCTGCAATTTGTGTCTAGTATGACTGTTGTTTTCTGAAAATATTTGCAGGACATGGGCTGTCAGGTGTAACCCTGAGTACGAAGAGCTAATTCTGGTACTCATTTTCTCAAACCTTTTCCTTCTTTGCCACAATCGAACAAATCTGCAGTGTACGGCTATTTTGTCTATTCAAAAGTAATTTAGTTTTTGCAGTATAGGCTGCAAGTTGACCCAATAAGAAGTACTCTGTTTTCTATTACTATGTATATTTGAATTGCTAGTTTCTGATGAATTTAACCAAACACAGAGCGTTGGGACAGACTCGGCTGTCAACTTGTGGTTTGCTTCGGCATCAAGTGAGATGAAAACCTCAGAAAGGTTAGTTCTATTTATCATTGCACCCAATGATTTGCACTTTTCCAGCTTTGTTTTGAACTTTTTTTCTATTGCTCATATTGTGCAGCTCGGTGGAAGCATCGCGTAAGCGTGTGAACCCGCTGCTAAATTCTTATACTGACTATGAAGACAGTGTGTATGGTAAATGCTCTTGCACCAAACTAAGTTTAGTTACAATACTCTTCCACTAATAATGTACGAAATTACTAAAAGAATTGCTGTCACAGGCCTCGCTTGGAGCTCGCGTGAGCCTTGGATTTTTGCATCATTGTCATATGACGGGAGGGTAAGTAACTTCGCTTATAGCGCCGATCATAAAATCTCGAAGCAGTTTGGAGAATTCATCTTATAATTTTGGTGTTTACTTATGTTAGGTTGTGATCGAATCCGTCAAGCCTTTCCTACCAAGAAGATAGGTTCATTGGAGAAACCCTCACAAGCAAAGCTGCATTGTCATATGTTATCATTTTTTATACAAATTTTGACCGTTTTGATTATAATCACGACATTTAAACTATTCTTCTACAATTGTTGAACACTTGAACTGTTACTCGTGTCTCTGTTCATCTCTCTCTCACCCACAAAGTCAACAATTTTTAATTTATACGTACAATGTTAATACCGTTCATCTATTGACAAAGAGTCTTACTAGAAATCGGTGAGAGATAAGAGCCTATATTACACAAGAAGATGTGTAAAACAAACTCAGTGAAAATACTTTAGTACGAAGTCAGTGAAGCTAGTGCAAGAGTTGCTAAATTGCTATAATTCAGTTTATATAAAGAAAATATTCGGATCAACATGTCTTCTTGCTTTCTCTTTCTCTAGCTACATCTCTGGTCAAAGCCCTGATTCTGAATATTGCTAAAACATGCTGAAAAATTGATCTTCCCTCAGATCCCGAGAAACAAAGGACGCTCTATAGCGATGGCGGTTCTATGTACATGAAACATTTGATGCAAAATGGTGACAAGGCTTTAAGCCCAAGGTTGGACAACTCAGTCTCATTGAGAAGTGTCCAAGCAAAGGAGAGATTCAGTGCAATGATGTGAAGTTCATTGATGTGAATCTTAACTAGTCTGATAGCATTTCTTCAAGCTCAGGCTCATCGGAGGTAGATGGATCATCGTAATCTAGACTCGTTCCGTTGTATAATCCTCTATCTTGAAGATCACTCTGTTCTTCCTCATAGTCTGGCTCCGACCAATCTGGTTCATCCTCTTCGGTTTGATCATCATTGGATACTGTTACTGCTGTGTCTTTATTTATGGATTTGTTTTTCTTTCCGAGTTTTCTAGATTCTACTTGCGCCTTTGCCCTGGCCTCTGTATCTTCGCATATGCACGTGGATGGGTTCTCGTGGAATTCACCTCTACCAGCTCTTACTTCTTTTGGCTCCCCCATGAACCCTCTCTGAAACGAAAGGACTCTGGAAGTGAATTCCTCCCAAGTAGTGTTCTCTTTGTTTTGAAATAGCCTGTAAAGCTTTTTTGCATTCGGTCTAACCGTGGGTTTATGCCCAAAGTATCTCCTGCAATTCCATCAAAGAAACAAATCGAAAAAAAACTTAAACGTTGCATTTCCATCAAAGAGACCATGAAGAAGAGAAGAAGAATTAGTACCTCCTCCCAGCCAATATTTTTGCCATATTGCCATTGTTGTTGGTTACAAATACGTCGCTTTCGTCACAAACAAGGAAGTCAAGTGCAGCCATTCTAGAAGAGTAGGAAGAAAAAGGTTCTAACTCTTCCTTTGTAGCTATAGTGTCTTTTGAATAGAAGTGTGGAAAGAGTGCTTTCAGAGGAGCCAAGGATTCTTCTCCTCCATATACTTCACCAGACGCGACATATATATGAACATCACTACCATATCCCAAAGCTCTAAGCATCAGTCCGACTTCTTCTGGAGTGAGAGGACATCTTCCTTGTCGCCTTTGTTTCTCTGGGTTATTAATCTGCAATGAAGTTGCAAAATTAGTCATTAGTAGCTTGTTATATACAATGAATTGCATGTAATTTCTAAAAACAGTACAGAATTGGCATTACATGTAACGTTTTCCATCTCCTTCTAATTGCTGCAAGTTCTCTCCTTTCCTTATCACCACCACCATAATAACATCCCGAGAATGCAAGCATATCAGGTTCAAACCTGCAACAAAGTCGTTATCGCTTGCGTCAAGACACACTCTAATATTTATACCTTCAACATGGAAAAGTAGACTATCATAAAAGATTTATTGTTGACTAGAATGCCAAATATGAAGGAGGTACTAGAGGAACTCAAGTATACACATTTTTATGAATCTGATTCCACTCATCACACGATGCAACTTCCTTTATTAGAAAAGAGCATTGACCACAAGATGGTTGAGGTCCCAACTAAGCCAACCTATGAGGGGATGCTAAAAGGTTTCAGCTCTGCTACATGTTAATTCTCCCCAGTACAATGCCCTTGTTCAGAAACGAAGTGAAAAAACGAAGAAATATCAAGATTTAAAGGCGAACAGTGGTGCTACCTTAGATGCAAAGCAATGAAGTGTTTGCTCCTCAATCGCATGCGCCGGACCAATTCATTACCCATTGTAAGTATAGGATCAGTGAACTTTAGAGCATGATAATTTACTCTACATCTTAGCTTTTGCAAGTCGTCACTCAACTTGTTTGAAAGTCTATAGTCAAATTTGTTCAGTTGAACTGCCTGAAGCATAATACAAACAAAAGTAATATAAGCCTTATAGCGAGATGCTTATTCAAAGGACAACTACTTCCCAATGGGTATAAAATGCTTCAAGTTCTATGTTTGGAACAAACATCCATAGCAAATAGTTGATAGAGGAGTAAGACAACAAATAATCTGCTTAGACATATTTTTCCATGAGGCAAAATTTAATATGCAAATTATGCAATATGCCAAAGTTTCAGAGAAGAAGGAAACTTACATGCCTTTTGTGAAGAACAGGTAAAACCCGATTAATATAGCATCTCTCGTTACATTTCCTTGGTACACGCATTCTACTTGGACTCCATGTTCGCCCTCCTTTCTGTGGAAGTTGCTTTATAATTCTAACGTCTTCCGATAAAAATGACATAAACCAATCAACATCGAAAATATGCGAGAAGTCACTGCATAAACACACATAAAGTTACTAAGATGCACAACATCAGATTTCCATTTCAAATAAAAACATGTATGCTTATTCTGTCCCTAACCTGGCATCCTTCCAATAAGACTTTTGGTCTAACTTCGGAACAACAAGAGTAGCATTTAAAATCCTTGCCGCAACAACTGCATCTACAATCTGCAAAAGGATGCATCCGAAAATTCCGTAAGAGACTTGGAACAAATTGCCATATAATTATACTAGATAGCTAATCTGATTTAAGAGTAAACAAATTTCATATAAAGCTCCAAATGTGATAATCCATGGAGATAAGTCAAGGAGCTCACTCCAGTTCGTTGTTGATTCAAACCACCACTGGTTGCGATCGCCAAGTATCGATCATGTCTCGTCACTGCTTTCGCATCTGCAAACAAGAAATCGGATTTAGCGTCACTAATCAAAGCCTGATTTGATATGCTGATTCCAAATACTCAAAGTTTCCAGCTTTAGTAAGATCGATCAATGTTACTAAAGACCCAACAACAAATGATCTTACGCACTTGAGAACTTGCTGCTCGCATTGCTGCATCCGTCAAAGAATTCAGCGTTTCGTGAACGCCAAATATTACGATCTGATCTGCCTCCACTTCTCTATCCATAAAAAAAACACACAAACCCAATGACCCATCAGAGATCCATCCATTTTCACATCAATAAGGTCGAAAAATTCAAAAATTGACTAACCGGAACTCGGAAACCTCCTGATTTGATCGCATCATTGGCTCCAATGTTAATCTGATTCGACAAAACAAAACAGCGTATTAGAATTAGAACGGATCAAAATCTCTACACATGGATAGAGAGAGTGAGAGAGAGTGTACGGATGCGTAGCGAACGCGTGATGGAAGGCGATCGGAATCGCC